TGTAGATGACTACTGGTGGCTACTTATTTAATAGATTATTCATAATTTGTTTATCATTTTCAAATATTCCCGAATATTACATCATGATCCCTATTCCCTCAGCACACGGGAGTTCTTTCTAAGCTTTCTTTGATTTATCATGGTAGCAGTTTCATTAGCTCGGACGTTCAAATCTGTGTTCAAGTCCTTTGCGAATTTGTCTTGTGAATAAATCAATAGATATAATAATTAAATATTAATTATATAAATGATTAATAAATAAATAATGCATGCTGCAGTCAAGTCTATGTTGGTAATGTTCCAGGTAACACATTGTGTTTAATACAGACCATAAAATATAATTATGCCACAGCCATGCTTTATACACATTTATTTGTCAATGTTATAGGCGTTTGGTCAGTCTTTCCTCCAGCCAGATATAGCAATTTTCAAACAGAATTTGGAAGCCCTGGAGACTCTTAACACCAAATGGAAACTGTATTATAAGGTATGTTAATCTAAATTAAACTGATGATGCATTGCATGATGGGTAAATCAGTCTGAATAAAAGAATTTCAAGTTCTTAGGCTGATACGCTACCCGCCATTTTAATCTGTGGTAGGTGTTTTTATCACTTTTTTTACAAGTTTAATTTCCATTGATGTTTCCTCCTGTGAGATATCTTAGACGCAAAGTATTTCTAAGAATGCCCAGGTTGACAGATTTGAAATCAGTGCAGAGCTGCTTGATTGGCTAACCAACCCTAACACTTAACAGTCAGACCAATCAGAGAGCAGCTTGTGTGTTGACCTATCAAATTCTGCCCAACTGTAGATACCTCTTCATTTTATGATTGAAAGAAACATTTATTGCATGAATATTTCATAAACTATCTTTTCAAGGCAACCTGGGTGATAACAATAAGAAATTCATCATTTTTAAGACAATAATAAAGCTGGTGGTCTTAACAATTTTGCATAGAGCTACAACTTCATGATTAAATAAAATATCCCCCTCCCTCTTGTGCATATAATTTCAATGCTATCATGTATATGGTTGGCTAGCAATTGAACCTGAAACTAGTTGATGAATATCAATATATAGTTACCATGGTTACTGTACTGTACATTTTACATCTTTCTTTCTTCCTAGAAATATTTTCGAGAAGTAATGTTATTCCAGTTTTTGAACGTCCTTCTCCAAGTGTTGGTACACAAATCACATGATCTTCTCCAAGAGGAAATCCTGATTACAGTTTACAACATGGCGTCGGTGGACTTCGATAATTTCTTCAGTAACTTCCTTCTTCAGTTTCTTGCGTCATGTGATGGGCTAGATCATGACCAGAAAGCGGCCTTGAATAGCAAGTTTAGTATGGATAGGGTAAGTACAGAGTAAATCTGTTTAACAGCCTCTTCACTTTTTAGCTCCGCTGTCGAGCGGAGCTTATCATATGAGTGATTGCCCGTCGTCCGTGTCAATGTTTTACTTTTTCGACTTTTGAATGCTTTGATACTTGGTGTATATGTACCTTGGGTACACCTCTCTCAGATTTGTTCATTTCATGATGATATCTTCAATTCTCTAATTTTAGTGAATATTTTTTTAATTTTTTGTAAAAAGTGATATTTTTGACTTCTTGTTGAAAACCGCAAGTCTGATTGCTTTTATATTACATATATAGGTACTACATGTGGACCTCTTTCAAATTTGTTAATTTCGTGGTGATATCTTCAATTATCTAATTTTGATGATTATTTTTGGTGAAAAGTGATATTTTTGAATTCTTGTTGAAAACCGCAAGTCATTTTCTAATGATATCTTCTGTTCTTTAATTGCAATGTGCATTGCTAACAGCGGAGCTATCTTAGCCGACAGGCTGCTTGTTAAGGTATATTTTAAGATCAGTGCGTTACCCTGATGTTTACTGTAAACTAGTCAATTTTTGCAGCTAGCAATTTGTTTTAGTCATTTGAAGGTGGCATTTGTAAAAACTAAATTTCTTGAGAAGTAATATTACTCCTTGCTTGTTGTACCACTTTGAAATTCTCATTGGTACAAACGAATTGTGATTGTTATAATTATAGCTGTAGCGAAATTAATGTGGTTTGTGCTATATTACACAAAAAGTCCAGCGAATTACCATAGCACTCTAAACTCTGTATGTCAATGATTTTCACTCAACATAGATAAAAGGAGACCCAGAAAAAAAAAAATTGTTCTGGTCATTTTTGCGCATCAGTTACAAATTAGAAAAAAAAAATGAAAGGATATAAAATTTTATTTTGTAAAAAAGCAATTGAAAAAAGAAATATTAGAAGAAAAAAAACTTTTTGTCTGTCTAATGAACTATGTAAATGTTTTGTTAAGTTATCAACCTTCAGCGTGTCTAAATTAAACATCTTTTCATTTTCCAGGATTTGCCGTCATTTACACAGAGCTTGCGTCGACTTGTGAATGACCTACGATACTTTCGAATCCAGAATTCAGCTCTACCCGAGGGATCTGTAAAATTGTAACAAATTCACGCTTCTGTAGTCAAGATTTATTCATCAAAGATTTTTTGTCATTATTAATTTATTTTGGTAATATAAGTGATCTTATTCCCTCACAGTCCGACTTTCGTCTGACTAATTTCAAGCCGTTTTATTTTAAATGACAGCTGCGGTATGTGTATATTACATCGTCAATGTCATTTGATAATGTAATCGCATACTTTTAATACAATAATGGTTGTCAGACACAACAGTGCCATAGGCGATTTTCAGTTCACTGCGAGATCTCACGTAATGCATGAAAGCCACAAATCAAACGCCTGTCACAAAAAATGATTTGATTTTGAACCTTAATTTCTTTTTTTTTTGAGATTCAGAGGGGAATGTAGTGTTGAGATACTTGTATTTGACCATCATCAAATGTGTGCAACACATTATCAGGCATGGAAATACTCAAAATATACTTGTTTGTTGATTCCCACGCAATGTCTTCACATTACTGCAATGCTATATATAGCCTTTGTTTGTCCTATTTTTTACGTTCGATTTCATGCTTAAAGCAAGATCTTGCAGTGAAAACGTCTATTTCAAGTTTCAAATAGTCTCTATATGGTTAATTGATTTTACACTGACTGGAATCATGATCATTTGTGCTATTTGACTACAAGCTTATAGTGAGACTACTGGGGAAGCTAAATCGATCTAACTTCCTTGTGACCACTAAATTACTATAATCATAACCTGAAAATCAAGCTGCCCCATTCAACTCTAGGATGTCTGAATGCCAGAATACAGATGAAAAAGTAAAGCAGAGAGGGCATACCTTCTGTCAAAGACATTGGGGAGGCTTATCTGGTGAAGATACAGATTACTCAATTGTTAAAATATTGCTAATTTCATTTGGGTCAATTTATTTTGAAGGTCAAGATGAAAAAAATTGGCGCTATAAACACATAAACCTTCTTATTTTGGGCCCAAAATATATAGATATAGAGGATGGCCATAATCTGCCGTCAGTGTTCAAAGTAGAAATCATACAAAAATTATGTCAAAAACATCCTTTTAGAGAAATATGATAAGTGTTCTGATCTGGATTTACTGAATTGAAACTATATCCTGTGCATGTTCTCTTCATACATCCTGGTACTGGATGGGAGGACTAAATCACTTTCCTTGAAATTTTGTCAATTATTCTCCCCACAAAACAGTGTATAATAGTGGAAATTATGGTTGCAATACCCCAGAGTACCAGGATGTGAAACCTTTTGGGGTCGTGCATAAGTACCAGGATGTGAACCCTTTTGGGGTCGTGCATAAGTACCAGGATGTGAGACCTTTTGGGGTCGTGCATAAATACCAGGATGTGAGACCTTTGGGTCATGCATAAGTACCAGGATGTGAAACCTTTTGGGGTCGTGCATAAGTACCAGGATGTGAGACCTTTTGGGGTCGTGCATAAATACCAGGATCTGAGATCTTTGGGTCATGCATAAGTCCAGGATGTGAAACCTTTTGGGGTCGTGCATAAGTACCAGGATGTGAGACCTTTTGGGGTCATGCATAAGGGGGGTCATGCATAAGGTATATTGTACAATGGTCTCTTCTGGTTAGAACATGGGGCTTATAATTTTCTTTCCTGTCTTTTAGAAAAAGAAAAGGAAGGTTCTGCAAACTTCAAGATTTGACATAATGCTTGCAATATTTAACTCTTCTCTATCTGAAATAATTTGCAATTAAGAACTTATTATTTTGTAGAAGCACAGTCTTGAGAATGATTTTTATTTAGGTCCATGTAAGGACAAACATCATCGTGTGACTTGTACTTCTTTTGTGGAGGTAGTTTTTTTTTTTTAATCATGGCTGCGATTTGTGAACATTGATTTAAAACATGTAAATATGATGAGCCGTGATGTAAAGAAACGTGTCTATTTCTTAGTATTGTATATACTGTGTAGAAAGGTGACTCTTGAAGAAATAAAAAATATATATAATTTTTGTGCATTTGCAATGAAAATAATATGATTGTTTAGATTTCTTATTTCCATATTTATGTACAGCTTGGTAATGTTCCAAGACAACCTACTTCTCCTTCCATGATAAAAGTTTGCCATTTTTCAGGCTGTGGTATTTGGCAACCCAAGAGTCTGCAGCCTGCTATTTGTTCTCTGAAAAGTGAGAATATTTCGTGATCTGGCTGAGAAGCAATTCATGATGTTCAACATGCCCCCAGATTGAATAAGATTCTGGTCATAATGTTGGTTATATTGAAGACCTAAACTTACAAGACTAAGTAGGCTTAGATTATTGCCCTTAGGGAAGAGTGTCCGTACAGGCAGTGATCACATCATTTGTTCATTCAGACAATCAAATGACTTGAATATATTGTTCCTGTCATAGGCAAAAATGTTTATGCTACCAATGAATTACCTGTGCTTACAACACTGACCAATGCACCAAATAAATGGTGCATTCAAACACGTATATTAGATGTTTTGCATTGATACGCTAGAGATAGAATTACCGTACATGACCAATGCTTCAAAAAGAACAGCATGCTGCATTAATTAGATAAATGCTTCCCTGCTCATAACTGCGGCAAACTCTTAGTGGGATAAAAAGAGGATCAGCTTGAAACCAGTTTCCATACAAAGATGTGGTAACATTTTTCTTCGTTCTCACTAACTCCATGGTACCATTGGGAACCAATCAAGACATGTACATTGGCAAATTTGAAAATTTGAAAAAAAAAAGACTTTAGGCACATAGATATTCTCAAAAAAGTCGAATTTCATGACCTGTTACTTAACTACTCAAAAATAAAAAATTAAATTAATTTGGAAAAGATACTGTGCAGATCAAAATTATTTGTCAACCTGATTTTAACAAAATATGACATTTACTCAGAGTTTTGATATAAGGTATTAATAACTACTGTATTCCCTGGCTAGTTCATGAAGAATTTTAAAAGAGTCCAATAGATGGGGACGGAGGTAAAATTGGAACTAAAAATTCATAAATACCATTTTGCGACTTCCAGTTTGTATCATAATGTTTGTAAGTTCATTAATTATATATAACAAGCTGGAAATTCTTTTACACATTGTAAACATTATGCAAATATTCAAATTGGTTTGATTAGTTTGTAAGAAAAACATTTTCAAAATGAACTGTAAATTGATTTTAATGGAATTGATCTTGTGACTGAAACACCAAATATAATGAGGTTACACATTTGTTTTAGGGTTAGGGTTAGCACACAATAGGAGTCTTTATGGTTATTGCTTGTGTCCGTTTCCCTGATATCTCAAGAATCACATATCGAATTTCAACGCAACTTGGTACATAGATGCTCTTGGATAATGCACAGACCTGATTAGTTTTTGGTTGAAATCCGTGCATATTAATTTTGCAAAATAATTAGCTAATTTTAAACCTTGTCCCCTTTTTAGCTCCGCTGTCGACTTTGTCGAGCGGAGCTTATCATATGAGTGATTGTCCCTAGTCGTCGTCCGTCGTCCGTGTCAATGTTTTGCTTTTTCGACTTCTTCTTGAAAACTACAAGCCTGAATGCTTTGATACTTGGTGTATATGTACCTTGGGTAGACCTCTCTCAGATTTGTTCATTTCATGATGATATCTTCAATTCAATTTTTGGTTAATATTTTTGGTAAAAAGTGATATTTTCGACTTCTTGTGAAAAAACGCAAGTCCAATTGCTTTGATATTACATATATAGGTACTACATGTGCTCCTCACTCAGACTTGTTCATTTCATTTTGATATCTTCAATTCTCAAATTTTGATGAATATTTTGTAATTTTTGGTAAAAAGTGATATTTTCGACTTCTTGTTGAAAACCGCAAGTTAGATTGCTTTTATAATACATATATAGGTACTACATGTGGACCACTTATAGATTTGTTCGTTTCATGATGATATCTTCAATTCTCTAATTTTGCTTAATATTTTTGTCATTTTTGGTAAAAATTGAGATGTTCGACTTCTTGTTGAAAACCGCAAATCCGATTGTTTTTATATTACATATATAGGTACTAGATGTGGAACTTTTTCAGATTTGTTAATTTCGTGGTGATATCTTCAATTATCTAATTTTGATGATTATTTTTGTCATTTTGGTGAAAAGTGATATTTTTTAATTCTTGTTGAAAACAGCAAGTCCCATTGCTTTGATGCTATACATATTGTTCATTTTTTTAAAGTGTAACTGAATTGGGACAATTGACTTTCTTTGTGTGCAAAATTTATTTATAAACAACATTATGAAAAAAAACAAGTGAAAAATGTACATAAATTAAATAAACGATCAATAATAATGTTCTGAAACGCCCACGTCCAAATTCTTGGCCGACTCAGAACGAGGCTTCAGCTAGAGAACCTAATTAGCATGCAAGGGTGATTTGTGACGTCACGGGGGGAACTTGTCATCGTTTCACAATGGCTGCTATACGCATGCAATGCTCGGAAAGCGACACGGAATCTATCTTATCATCGTCTGACGAGAGTTATGAGATCGAGGAATATGATGACAACGAGAGATGTCACGATTTTGTTTTACAGTGCCAAGGACAAAGTGGCCCATACAGGTTTGAACCTGCGAGAAAATACGCGATGTGGGTGATCGTGTACCTCCCCAAAATGACCATGACGATTCAGGCACCCGGTTAAGGCACAGGCACAGAGTTTGAACATCGTGACCGAAAATCTTAACGTTGTTATTTTTATTAAACTCCACCTGAACAATGTATCAATAATGTTAGAAAATCTGCACTCTAAAATGTAAATTTGTGTGCGTCCGGTAGGACGCGAATACCTACAACTGCAAGATCGAAACAAATGAAATTGTACTGATAAATGATTCGGGCGTAAATGATACGTACTGATAAATGATTCGGGCACTGCAGATAATGTTAGGAGGAGAAGGTCCATTCCAATATTTCCTGGTGTTCTTGACGGCTTTGGTCCACCACTGATGCCGTAAATTCGAATTATTGTTGTTTTTGTATAGTTTTTTACCTCTCGAAACTACAACAGTGCGTAGAGTTATTGCAGTGGAATAGTCGCCTTGAAATCGATTGAACTTCAACTATCCATTTCTCACCTTGAAATAAAAAAAAAATCGAAGAGCATCGGGGGATATATTATTAACCAGTCTTGCCAATCGCTAGCTTTATTTTATTCGAATCCATAAAATTCATGAGTTTTTCGACATTTGTTGGCAACTTCCGCGCTAAAAATGGATGAAAATGTGGGTGTGGTTCTCTCGCAAAGTTCTGTCGATAATACGGACAAATATGATTCTGTGACCTAGGTCGTGCCCCGATCAGTGACTCTCATCCAATCATGATGTTGTACAAAGCATAATTTGATGCAAATTGAAGG